CCTGCACCTGCCACGAAATCTGCACTTCAAGGTCCACAAAAAAGTCCTGCGACTGCCACGAAATCTGCACTCCAAGGCCCATAAAGTCCTGCGCCTACCACTGGCCACCAGCTCTGCACTTCAACATGTGCATTGCAAGGTCCACAAAGTACTGCACCTGCCACGAAACACTACGACAAGCAAGCAAGCAAGTACGAGCTGCTCACCTTTGGATCTGGTGTGCTGCTGGGCGGGGCGCTGCGCCCCCCCCCAACCCCCCCGAAATCTGCACTTCATCGCCGACACCCCCGCCTGCCACGAAATCAATATTTTAAGGTGAACTCCCCGGTGCCAAATTTTTCTAACCAAGCAAATATGCCTCCTCTATCTCTCTATCTATCAATCTATCTACCTATCTATGTATTTATCGATCCATTTCTCTTTCTATCTGTCTATCTGCAGTTCAACATCCACAAAGTACTACACCTGCCACGAAATCTGCACTTCAAGGTCCACAAAGTCTTGCGCCTGCCACCAAATCTGCACTCCAAGGCCCACAAAGTCCTGCACCTGCCACCAACTCTACACTTCCACATCAAAAACTCCTGTGCCTGCCACGAAATCTGCACTCCAAGGCCACAAAGTCCTGCACCTGCCACGAAATCTGCACAAGGCCACAAAGTCCTGCGCCTGGCACGAAATCTGCACTCCAAGGCCCACAAATCCAAGGCCCATAAAGTCCTGCGCCTACCACCGGCCACCAACTCTGCACTTCAACATCCACAAAGTCCTGCACCTGCCACGAAATGTGCATTGCAAGGTCCACAAAGTACTGCACCTGCCACGAAACACTACGACTACCACTACGATACTGCTGCTATAGTCCGGTTGCTACTCTTACTGCTACTGCTATTTGGAATATGTTTTTTTTTGACTCATTAAGTATTTTTTTGATGCGTGTGGAATATTTTTTTATTGATGCGTTAAATATATGTTTTGATCTCTCACCCATTGTGGCTGGGGACGTTCCTTCAACTTGTGAACTTTCCAATGACTCCAATTATTGTACCCCAGGTGGGAGGGGTTGGTTGAAGGCCATGGGCCTGGAGTTGTAGAAAGAGCCTCAAACTTCCAGGGAAAGCTACTATTTGCGAGATTTTGGCAAACGTGTATGTTCGAGATCGCGAGAAGACACAAATCTTCCTTGGGATTGGATGGCTCCAATGCTTTTGACATTTTGTAGGAGACGATGCTCCATTCCAATATTCCAAGAGAGACGCGCTTCCGACAGACTCGAACTTCACAAGCCATGACAAACCAGACCGGCGCAAAGATCCGGCGGAAGATCTCGGAGGATCCGGTGGCATCCTTTCTCCGCCGTTCTTCCTTTCCGAGGCATCGGATTTTTTCCTTGGGTCCCCGTGTTTGGGACGGGCGCGCTGACCGCGGCGCGCTTCGCGGCGTGCTTCGCGTCCGAGGCCTTCTGCACGGAGGTGGAGGAGCTCGGGGACTCCGAGGAGGCGGAGACCTTGATCTCGGGATGTCTCATCCGTGGCTTGGCCCAAGAAAAGCAGCAGGACTTGGCCAAAGACCTGGGGAGAAGCGGCTACTTGAAGAGGGTGGGAGGTGATGAGGTTTGGGAGGTTGGGCTACTTGAGTGGAACCTCATTTAGCTTGCTTCTTGCCGGGGATTGTGGGGTGGGAAATGAAAGGGGTCATTCTCTGTGCCTGGAAGCGTGGCGCTTGCGCCGGCCGCTGACGAGGTCATGAGAAAACTGCTGAGCAAACCGGTGGAAACGATGTCTTATTCGTCTCATTTCTTTGTTTATGGAATCAAACTAATAGCTTTCGTGCCATTGTGAAATGTTTAGAACGTACAACTGGCCAGCAACTCTTTCCTAGATATAAACAAGACAGGGGCCTCATCACTGGTCAGGCTTGGATTTCATAGACATTTGGTTGGGGGATTGGCTTCGAGACCAAATCGTCCTCACACAGCTATGGTAATTATGGATTATTCGTCCCGTCCTGGACTGCCATATCCACTGAATGTACACATTCCGTTTAGTCCGATTTGTAGCCATTTCCAAGAATCCTTTCCTCCAGACATACCCTTTGACAAACGCCATACCTTGTATCAAACGGCACGAAAGTATATTCGCACAAATCCGCTCTTGAGAAATTGCCAACTAACCCATGAATTCTTGACTGCTGAATTTAGACGCACTTTCGTTCCCTAATTCGCTTGATCGCATACCGGACAACTACATGTCGAAGGGCTGTGAGGAGCGCATCGGACGGAGCGAGCGCCACTCCCGTAGCGCACTCGAAGTCGACGAGTGATCCCGGTCTTGCCGGGTACATGGGAGGGCGGGCCACGGACCCAAATAAAGCAATGCAGGAGATCTTGTGAGATGACGTTGTTCAACTGGTGATATATATAGAAGAGTTGAATATAGTCAGGACTTCAGAATTCAACCCAATGGTACGACTGACTCTCCAGTGGACTCTCCAGAGGTTGCTGGTCGTTTTTCGCTGTGGTCCCTGAACACTGGTGGCCGAACATCTTCCCAAATGGGTGCGACTTCTCTTGAAAAACCAAAAACCGGCAAGTTCTTCTCTTAAAACATTTATTTCTTTTTTATTCCCTTTTTTTCCGAATCCTCCTCGGACCTCCAAGCCGAACACTCTGAGGAGTCAAGGGCTGGTGGCGCAAGGGAGCTCGCTTCGAGCAGCGGCGGGCGACGGTGCGACGGAGTGTCTCCTCCGAGAACGAGGTGGAGTCGGAGCTCTTGTTTGGACGTGATGATGGCAGCCGTAGGAGGGATGGCGGCCGTGGATGCGGTCGGGATGTGGATCTTGGATTGACAAGAGCCGAACAAGAGCGGAGAGCGTTGGATTGGAAAGAGACATGATTCATCATGATTCTTTTTTGACGTTGAAGAAGCTGCCCCAAATCAGCACGGATTGAGTTTGATCCCTTTTTCAGTGCGAAACCACGCCTTCTCTTCCACCTGCGCAGTGCGAAACCACGCCCAGCGCAGGAAGATCTCTCTGCGTGGGGTGGCGGTGGAATCTTTTGCGTTGGAAGGCCTGTTCGGCTTCCGAATCCTGCCCTTGCCCAGCTCCTCTTCGTCTCCCATCGATCTGGCCACCGAGACCGGCCCTTTGGCCCCGAGACGTTCATGACACATCGGACATGCAGAGCATGAACAAGCCATTTGCAGGTGCATGCAGGTGTATGCAGCGTCTTCTACGGCGCTACGAGCATCCTTTCTCTTGAACCCACTGGGAAGGCCGTGTTTTGTTGGGCAGTTTTGCAACATATTTGTTCTGGTCATGCCCATTGGAGGCCATTACGGGTCTACCGAACAGTGATGCATCCTGTGTCAATTGGAGAATCTTGCCTGTTTGGTCCAGAACGAGGGTGCCTGCTGTTGGTCAGTCCCAAAACCGTCTGAGGCGATCAACGAGACCTTTGGATGGCGGCCATTTCCATTGCTTCGGCTCACAAGCCCCAGGGACATGTGGCAGGTGTTTTGCGAGTCACCCTGGTTGAGGGTGGCATTACTCAGGCGAGGGACCGACACCGAGGGGGAACGAAGATTGGAACTGCAACCCCACAAAATGCATGAGGAAGTGGGAGGCACTACTGCGAATTGGTGTAGAACATGATAGCTGCTCATGCTTGCAAGTACATTAAATTGGTTTCAAAAATACAAGCGCATTCCAGCCTGGCTCAACATGCTGGACACAGACATGCCTTCACAGAATCTTTGGACGTGATTGTTGTTCTCAGACATGGAAGGTTATGCTAAAGTGAAACCGCCGCAGATTTTTTTCGAAATGTGTTTCAGCGTTGCCTGTTCTGCATGAGATCTCAGATGGGGACACCATGGACCTTTTTATGAATTTTGTACCTGATTAAGTATTGAGTATGATCATCCACCGGCTCAGGTGGGTCTTGGAGGGGCCTGAGTTATCATCATCCCTCCAAGGCCTCCAAGCTTCAAAACACTCACTCCCTGCCTCCCTGCAGGACCAAAGTATGTCCAAGCGCTTGACACTCGCGCCCAACGCCTTTTTTTGCGTGGTCTCTTGCAATGGAATGTGCTCCAGGACAGTGGCCAAGCGGCCCCAGAAGACGGTCGACGGTCCCGGTCCCGGCACTTCTTTGGGCATCATCGACTTGGGGGAAATCTTCGAGTTTCCCATCACCAATGATGCCCGTCGTCGTTTCATTTTACGGGCCGTTCTGCTTTTGGCGCGAAGGTGCGACATCAAGTTGATGTCGCATCAAAAAACACCCCAGGGTTCTTGGTGCCCTTGGAAGGATGCGTTTCTGCTCCCTGGTGGAGGTAAGCAAGGCCTTCAAGAGTCTGGGAAGACCATAGGAGTCTAGAGGAGTGAATCGGAGCAAAGTGACAATGACATACAAAAGTCTTGCTTTAGCAGAGGGATGGGCCGGGTGAGATTCCAAACACGGACTTGGTCAGACAAGTCTCTGGAGGGGAATTACAGCTGGCAGCCTGCTGTCGCAGCCTGCTGTCGCAGCCTGCTTCCGCTGAGGATGATCCGGACTCATTGATCCAGCTTCAAGTGTGGAGCACTGACTTCCGCCGTGGCAGCATGCGTGGCAGGGTGGACGTGCCTCTCTATGCCTTGGGAAGGAAGCACCAGAGGGAGATGCAGCTGAGCTTGCGAGATGTGGACCGGCCCAAGGGAGAGAACAGCGAAGTGGGCTTTCTAAGAGCATGGTGTAGCTTTGAGCAGGACCTGGGCAACTTGGACTGAAGTTGGCGAGCCAGGCAGGCAGTTCCTGCTTGCAGAACCAACGGGCACCAGGTCCGGTGATGCCTGTGATGCTCTTGTTCTGCCTCAGCTAATCAGTCATAAATAAAAAACAAGAGCTGCTTAATTCGACAGCCTAAGTGGCTTTCTTGCCTCCCAAAGAGCTGTTTGCTTTTCCGCTGAGGCTCCTTGTTACTTCCTCGGCCCCATAAGCCGCCGAAGGCCGCATGGCAAACGGTGGGGATCGACAAGGGCATGCGCGAGCAGTTGAAAGAGCTGGAAACCTTCATGCAGCAGTTCGAGGCAGAGGGTCCATGGGAGGAACTGCTATTTTGTAAGTGTTAAAGTAGTTACCCGTCTGAGGGGTATTAACTGACTGCGAGCATCCCTGATGACAATTCTTTCAACTTGCGCAGAAGCAGTTCCCACATTCAGAGTGCGCTTGCCGCGCAGGGACATCAAGCAAGAAGTCCCCCAGCGTGATCACGCTGTTGATCTTATGTGTCCAAAACCTCCAAGTAAAGAATATATAATGCTATGAAACAACCGTATTCGGGGCGCGAGAAACACTACGGTTCAGGAGCGCGAAAGCTGGCGAGAGCCTTCTGCAAAAGAGTCGGTGTGAACAGTAATTCCGTGTTTCCAGGGGGTGTGAAAGTGCTGTGAAAAGTGCTTTTCAAGTACTTTTTCAAGTAAGGGGTTGATTCTCACCATTGAGCAAGTACTCTAGACTTGTAAACTTTGACGTGCCTGGGTCTCCTTCAGTGCCTGGGGCACCTGGGAGCGACAAAGCCGATGATTGGCTCACTCTACTCACAAATTTGTGCACGCTTTTGTTACTATTGGCAGTGATTGGAGTTGTTTGAAAAGCATCCTGTCGGACCCTGTGGTAGGTGTTTTCAAGCCGCTTCATGCATCATTCTGATGTTTCCAGAAGCCTCTCACTCAAGTACAAGCGCATTGTGCCTCTTGGCTTCTGGCGGAAGTCCTGTTTCTGGATACAGGGTCGAATGTTTTGGATTTGAAAAAAGACTTACTGATGACGCTTCCGCAAAACTTCCGCTGTCAGAAAGCTTCCAAGAAGCACAGCGTCTGAAGGTGGAAGGTTGGAAAGTGCCGATGACCGTGGTTTTCAAGCAGCAGATACAGATACTTGCTTGATACAGATAGTTGCTGGTTTTGAGTTCCAAGGCAGTGGGATTCTCCTGGCGTGACCATTTGTTGCCTGGTGTCCTTAACCGTTCTCATCGGCTTCTTTCACGAATACATCCTCCCTGTGGCGGCTCTTGTCCTGCTCGGTGTGATCTTGTGGCCTCTTGGCGAAAAGGGAGGACATGGTAGGTGCGAGTAGATGTACATGATATGGAGGGCATGGTAGGACGAAAAGGACCAAAGTGATGCCCAGGCATCAAAGGACGAAGATATTGGTTTGTGACGTGGATGAATTAAACAAGAGTAAAAGCACAAGAGTCTCAGAGACTTTCGGAGAATGGACAGGCAGGCCTCCAAAGGTGTGGTCATACACGCCATGTTGAGCCCTCCAAAACTTCAGGTTTCCCATGGCATTGCATCAATTCAGATCCCCTGGATCCGAGCCCAGCGAAGAGGTACCATCCAGCTCGCGAAGAGGTACCGAAATGCGAGTTCTGCGAGCCGCAGGAGACGGAAAGCGTTGTCGAGCCATGGCAGGGTTGGCCAGTGAGGATTTCAACACATCTGGCAGTGAGGATTTGCAGGTTGCAAAGCCAGCTACTATATCAACACATGGGATCCAGTTCTTTTCAAGCCATGGAGGTTCCTTACTTCACGACTGCCTAAAGTGCTCGGCCCGAACGTGCCGACGGACGTCGAAGACGGGGTCGACCTCTTCAGGGCCCTCCTTCAGGGTGAAGCTTTGCCAGGAGCAGCCGCAGAGCTCTAGATTGATCTCAGGCGAGAAGGATGGAGAATGCGAGTGAGATGGGGGGAACTCTGTCAGATTTATAGTCATTATTCTTTTCCAGGGATTGTGGCAATGGACTGCTTTTGGTGGTTGGGAGTAGTGATGCTGCTTTTGATTGCATCGGCGAAAGGCCTTAATCAAAGCTGGATTCAAAGATCCTTTTCCTTCGCTTGCTGGGTGTGTCATCATCCCCTATCTTCGTCATTGTATTTCCCAAGTGTCTAAGAAGGTGGGGACGGGGCACCTTGTCCAAACGCAACTCAGGATCCTAGATTGTCAAATAAAGCGGAGTACCCGCATTTGGCCGACTACCACGTTGGCCAGAAATGCCATAGTCAAACAAAGGGATGAAAGGACGGGCATCGCAGAGTGGCCGCTACTGACTGACCTTTGTGTAGCAAAATCCCTTTGCACATGTCAGGGCTCAAAGCGCAAAAGAACACGTCGGAGGGAGATGATGCAGATGTGAAGGCACGAGTCTGCATTTGGGTAAAGATGCAAGTTTATCTTACTTTTTTGTTACTAGTAGCTTCTTGTTACTAGTCGTAATGCCAGGAGCTACGTTCGTAGCTTCTTGCTCCTAGTAGCGATGCTCTTTGTTACCAGTAGGATCCTTGCTCCTAGAAGGACGCCGTGTCATTCGGTTGATTCACGCTTGGAGAGCGATTTTTCGCATTTACACCGTCCTGACCCCACAGGAGCGCTACGAGAACGAGCGTCGACTGGTGCTGGGGCGGTGGGCCCGGCGGAAGGGCCTTTAGGCATACTCTGGCCAGCAAACGCCTTGGAAGAAGAGTTTTGTTTTTTGGTGCCACGATGCTTCTTTTCAATGGGCCAGTCTTGAGGTTTGATCATGATTTTCTGGCATGTGTCACTACAAAGCTGACAAGGTCCTTCCGTCAAATGCGCTTCTTCTGCATGTGAAGCTAGACCAGAAGTGGCTCGAATTGCTGCATGAATGTCACGAAGGGTTGTATCTGGAGCTACGCGTTAGTGGTCTTGGTAGAGTAAATTCCATCCTCCAAAGAAGGGCTTGGCTCAGCCGATTTCGCCAGGTTTACCTCCAGCCGGCTTCGGCTTTGGGATCCTCCGCCCTGGACGGGGGCCTTGGTTTGGAGGGTCGCGGACGGGGCGGACTGCGTCGCCCTGCGCCCGGTCGCGGGTCCACCGCGTCGCTGCCCACGTCGGGTGTCAGGAGCGATAGCTCGGGGCGCAAAGTGGATCCTCCCAAGCCCTACGAGGACCGAAACGCGAGAGCTGAGAGGGTAGAGCTGGAGGAGAGGGAGAGTGGAGGTCTGGGTAGGGCCGCTGGATGAGAGTGCGGGTGGTCTTAGGTGCAACACGAATTCCCAGGTGAGCTGCTGGGCAGTCACAGATTTGTAAGAAGGACTTCACACTTGATGAAGCCACCACTACCACAAAAACATTCTTATCAAGGCATCATCCACCCACCACAAAGATGTGTGAGTGGCCGGAGCTGTTGGGGAGGAAAGCTTCCATCCCTCATGGGCATGTTTCACACTCGCGCTGTGTGCACAGGGTACTTGGCACATATGTCGGCACGCCAAGTGGACTGTTCAGGCTGGGTCTCCTAGGTCTCGGGTCGACATGGTTCCCGCAAACCGAGCAAAGCTGCAGACGACACAGCTGGCCGCAGCATTTCCACTCGCTCAGCATCTCCAGCTGCTCCAACATCCAATCCTTACAACTTCAACAGCAGGTGGAATGAGCTACAATTGGCTGATACAGGCACAACTGTCAGCAAACCCAGATTGACAAAGCCTTTTGTCAGCCAATTGACAAAACGCTCTCTTTTCAGGAGAGAAATGACCGATTGGATATGAGTGTATCCCAGGCTGCTAGGACGCAAGAATTCTCGCTTCAAATCGGCAGCCCAGGGCAGCCCACCACTGGCTGCGGAGCGCCATGGCACAGCTAGATGTGGCAATCTTCATCGTGTCGGCCGTGTCTGGGCTGCTTGAAAGTTTGGAGTACTCGGCGGGCTGAGCACTCGATTGGTGGGCTTTCTTACAGTTATTATATCATGGGAAGCAGTGCTCAAAAAAAGGCGTTTTTCTTCCCACCAGACAAGAATGGATGCGGAACTTCTTGAGTAGGTCAGGTGGGGGTTCCAGATAGATGTTGTAGATCCAGTGGGGTGAAAGCCAGTGAGAACCGAACCAGTCTCTCAGCCGTTTGGTGAGAGATATCTCTTGAAGTCAAGATCTACATGCGATCTACATGCAGTTGCTAGCGCGCTGTTTAAAGAACTGTCATCCATCCAAGACACCGAGAAGCCCAAGCACCCAAGAAGCCATGTTTGATGGGGTTCCGTGGCTTCTTGGATGGGGTTGCCTGGCCATCAAGGCCCTTCATTCCACCAGATGGTCCTCTGAGGACTTCTCTGATCATGGGTTGATATGAGGAACACATTGAACACTGAGGTCATTATGGCCATGCGCCTGAGATGCATGCTCAGGCGAACGGTTTGTGAAAGACTGGACGATGACCGACTCCAGATGCAAATCCCAAAGACAATGTTTGACAACCCCTTAAATGAACCATCCACTTAAGATCTGAGCCAAGAGTCTTGAGGCGGGGGAGAGTACGGAAGTGATCAAATGTAGAGTCATGTTGCAGGAGAGCCCCTGCTGATCCAACCATCCAGAGCGTCAGGGTTTCAAACATTTAGAACCAGGAGCAGCAATTCTGGGATTGGTTTGGATTCGGGGTTCTAACTTCAGTAGCTCCTTCCACTACCTCCTTTCTGAAACTTGAAGGCTTGCCTGGCAAACCCAGATTTCAAGACTTCCTTCGCTGCCAAGGTGCCGACAGCCGACAGGGACCAGGGCACGGGTTCCGTCCGCACCCGTCCTGGGCGACCAAACCTTTGGACCAAGGAAACCTCTACTGCTTCATTTGACGGGTGATGCTGTGAGGGAGGATGCAGCTTGGCAAGATAGATCGGTGATGGGACTTGGGAGTTGCTGGTGTTGGAAGCTCCGGGGTTTGTGGAAGATGGGAGTCCAGTGATCGGTCCGGTCCGACCCAAACCACCAAGCACCAGCGAGCTTACGGGAGTGGTGACCAGGAGACTTGCGGTGGGCCTTCAACGGAAGTCTCTTGGGAGAGTGGCCTGTGAAATCTCTGCAGAGCGGGAGTCTAGTGCTTGGGGATGCAAACTTCTTGATGAAGAGGTGGAGAGGGCACCGGAGGAAACGGTGGAGTGGGCCCCCATCGAATATTTGAAAAGATGAAGAGAAAGTTCGGCATCTCTTCGCATCAATGAAGACTGGTTGAGCCGAGCGCTTGGTTGGCTGAGAGCCTTCCATGGAATAAGTGGAAAATTCAACTCCAAAAGCAATACTTGTGAGCTCCGCTGGTGGTACAGTTGGATTTCTCAAACTTTCTCCAGAACTTTTCCACCGAGTAGATTCAACAAATGTTCACGCCAATCTGACATTCCACTTGAAACCTTGTATCAGCCCGGTCATCCTTGCTCAGCCTCAATTGGCTCATCATCCAACCTCTCTCAATGCGAGGACGCCCACTAAGCAGCTTCACTGGAATCCTGCAGGAACTTCAGATGGCACCCTTGAAACCGGAAAAGCTGAAATCGGTATGTACTCCAGGCTGGTCCAGCCCTAGCTACGGCCTAGCTGCTAGGCGCTGCTAGGCGTTGCTGCAGTTTCTTTCACTGAAATAGACAGACATCCATTCCCAAAGGGTGCTGTTCTGCCCTTCTGCCGTTCTCTCTCACACAGCGGAAACCGGTCGCCCCGAAACCGCTCGCACCGAAACCGACCGTGGATGGCGCCCGGATGGGTCGACGGCTAAGAGTCTAAGAGGCGAAACGCTCCTGGAAAAGGAGTTGACAGAAATCAATGCGTCCCGACTCCTCCAAAAGGTCCATACCAGCCTGCTGCGATCGCTGTTGGACTCCACCCTGCTGGGTGAGGAGATGAGGAAGACCCTCCGACTTGGGTGCGATCCAGCTGCCCGCCAGTTTGGCCGACTTAACGTCCGTCCGCCCTTGGTACTTGTCATGGTCCAACAAGGAGCAGCAGCAGCAGCAGCACGTCCTGTTTCTACCACATGGGCGGATTTTGGCCAAACACTACTGCTGAAGGCGCCACAATATAATGGGTCATTGGGGTGGAGCAAGCGCTGTAAGATTGCGGAAGAAGACTATGAGCCCATGGGTCTTGTGGTGAGGTGCAGGAGACCTGGTCCTGTTGGGCGCAGCTCCAATTTATATACAGACCTACACCTAGACCCCAGCAGCGCAATATGGAAAGCAGACTTCGTGCGCGACGCTCCGCGGGAACTGGAACCGCTCCTGTTTGATGTCAGCATGGCTGCTCCAGGGCTGCTAAGTCTCCCGAAGCTTTGTGAGGCCTGGGAGAAACAACGACGAGCGACTGCGAAACTTCCAGCGTGCAAGTCCAAGATGCCAAATCTTAATGCGGACGTTCTGAAGTCTTTGGACATGGATCCTGCTCACTTGCCCTTCTGGGAGTTGGTCGAGGCATCCGCCATCGGGTGCGAACTGTCCCCTCTCTGCGCGACCGAGATGACGGAAAAGGAGCCATAGCAGTTGAAGAGTATGCGTGTGTTCAAGCAGATGGGCACACTTCTAGCCGCTCTAGCCCCAGAGAACCTTGTTTCTCACGTGGACATGATTCCCTTACGAAAAGTGAGCAGAGTTCAGATGCTGCGACAAAGCAAAAAGACGGTGATTTCCAGAGTAGATGGCACGGTCCCCACAGGTGGTTGATTTGGACCCTGTCTAACAGACATCTTGAGGCTTGTGTCATCTACTTGAAAACCACTGTAAAGGAAGGACCCACAATTTTGGAAGACCATTCGCCCTCTCCTTGGTCCAGGACCGCTTGGTCCCCCGACGGGTGCCATCGAGTCCTCCAGGGTCGGATCGACGGTTTCACCCTGTTTCATCATGTTTCGTCCAGGGGCGTCTCGACTGTGTGTAGAACAACACGCAGAGGCGGCTCGCGGCTGCTCGCGGCGAGCGCGGATGGGAGAAGTCCAGCTCGGATGGGAACCTACCAGAGTAGACACCGAGCCCATCTGAATTCAGTTGGGGAACCGATCGGTGCCCGAGCCCCGAGCCCTGAACTCCGGCTCGGCCGAGCGGATTTGCCCCGATGGCTTCGATCGGTCCGAGGTGGCGCTGCCACCCGCCTTCTTCCAGCTGGCTGTGGAAGCCTTGAAGGCCTTGATCTGCGTGCTGGTGCTGCTGCTGCGACGTCAGACGCTGGGTGAACAAGGCGTTCTTGTTTCTGCTTATGCTTGCGCATACGCTGGCAACATACGCTGGCAGCATATGGCAGAGATGTTAGACAGTTCGATTGTGTGTGAGGATCCGGAAGGACTTGGAAGCGCTACCCAAGCGTCTGTATTGTGTTCAGCTAGGCATGGGCATGTCATGGGTTCATGCGACGACCTGGGAGATTTAGACGAACAGAAGTGGCCCCAAGCCTCGAGTGGAGGATTTCTCCCAAATCTGAGGTGTGGACTCTCCGCCGTGGTTTGGAATGGTTGGTGGCACACTGCCACCTGGCCGCTGTTGGCACTGCATATTTTCATCCTCCGGTCCTCCACGCAATATGACCTATTCATTTGATAGCCACAATTCCATGATAAGTTGAGAAATGTTACCCGGTACCCCAAAGGCACAACTCAGAAGGGTGTCCCCTTCAGCCGTCACTCGGATGAACATGGATCTTCATTTTCCCCAAAAGGCACTGGGCACATCCGAGTCTGCCTAGAGAACGGCTCCAGTTCGCATGTTGGGCCCAAAGATTTGGGGTACTTCCCTTTCCCATAGCTTTGCACGGTGGTTTTGGGCCACTGGGGTGGCTGGAGCACCAATACAACTCTGCTCTGCAGTCGCTCCACGCAACTCTCGAGCTGCGGACCCATGAATTCAAACTCTGCGATCGCTCGATGGGAGGCTCACAAACGAAACGCAGTGATCGTACATTTGAACAGTTGGAATCTACCGAAGTCTGACCTTTGAATCTACATTAATGCATGGCCGTCATTCCAACTGCTGGCACGCCAGCCTTAAGGTGGTGTAGGCATGCTTTCGTTGTCCCAACAAGCAGGGCAGGTGTATCGTGGCAGGCGATGCATCGGCAGGCGATGAAGTCTTTAAACTCTGTCTGGATCAACTGAAGAATCCCTGAAACATGTCTTTTTCGAGGCTTCAATGATGGCTCAAGGATCTGGAACTTACAGACACGTTTTTGTACCGACCTCGTACTATCTCGGTGTCAGCTTGCAAACTAGAATCACGGGCACGCCGTGCAGACGTGCCGGAGTTTGAAATGGCATGTTTTGCTTTTGAGGCCTCCTTTGCATTGCCCGCTGCGGTGTACCTCCTGATGAATGTGCTCACAGTGATTGCTGCCCGCTTGTTGTGGGGAACCTCAGCGCAAGAGCATGGCCAATTTGGTCAACAAGCGGGAGATGCTTGGAAGCTGGCAGTAAAGCCATGACGTTTTTTTTCCCACTGCCAAGCCGCGGAGATCCGAAGGCCTCCCTCTTCGGCTTACCGCCGATGCCGCCAGGCAGCCTCCGATGCTGCAACTCATCGCCTCCATCAAGATCCTTGGTGAAGAGAGGCTATCAGTCAGTAGACCCCGAAAGGAAAGCAATGTGTCTGGAGACCCCAAAAGAGGCCACAGACGTTGGTGTTCAGACCATGCAATTGCTTAAGTAGCGACAGCGAGAAGAGGCCATGCACAAATGAGTGTGTACTTAAACAGGGAGATCTTCCAGTTTGACCCCACGGAAGAAGGACAATAAACAGCTAGTGTTTTCGTTGGTGGTCTCCCTATTTCAATACGGTCCAGCCATTGTTGGATCTAGGTTTCAAGCACTTCCTGGGGGCCTTTTCTTCGGTCTCCAATGAAAAATTCCCTCGACACCGAGGATTCTCATCACAGCCATTGCCTCGCGCATCGTGATGTCCAAGCCACCTGGTTGACAGGGTGGTGAGGTCCAACAAGCTACGATCGTTTCGGCCCCCAGCGGAATGGGTGGTGACCAGTGGGGATTACCACCATCCAGAAATGTCCACCCACTGTGAACCAGTAGGGGTCAGTCTTGTGGATGCGCAAGAGTGCGAGCGCGTGCTCCAGCATAAAACGTGTTCCATCAGGGAGAGAAAGGGCTGCAGTGGGTCAGGATGCATTGTTTGGCTTGTGCACTTGCACTCTCTATGTTCCTTCTCTGTAGACTAACCACCAGACTTTGATGGTCCGATGCCCTGACACAGTTGGGCTTTTACACAATTAAACAAACACATTTGCACGCACAAGTCTTGGAACTGCTACAGCCTTTGAATGTTTTGGATATGATAAGCCCAAGAAAAATCATCAACAGCTGGGCAAGAATCTGCCTATTAATAGCCAATGGCCACATCACGAGTTTTGAACAAGTGATGTCTTTGCCAGAAGACATGTGAGCCGTTTCAACATGCCATGCAAGCATCGCAACATGGCAATATTTCGGCATGGCAGCATAGCACATGTGCCCACATATGCGCAAGTGTAACAACGCCGCCAGCATATCAGCACGGCAGCATCACCCGACGTCAGCATCTCAGCGAGACAACGCGTCAACATGTTAATGTGACATGTGTCAGCGTGCCAGCGTGAAAGCATAGCATGACAGCCTGACAACATGTCGGCAAGACACCGTGCCAGCATATCGGCATGACCGCGCACTAGTGTATCTACACGTCCGCATGACAGCATTTTATACAACGCACGAACATGACACCATGGCAGCATATCATCGTGGCTCAGCACGTTAGCAAAGACTGCACGTCTGCAGAACATCCAGTTTGCAATTTAGCTTCACAGAGTGACAACATTATGTTAGAATATCGACATGATAACCCACACCAGATCAGCATGGTAGCCTGCCGGCATGGCAACGTGTCAGCATGACAGCGTGCCATGACAATGTCAGCATGACAGCAGGTCAACATATCTGCAAAATTCCTGCGAAGCTGTTCCAGCACTCCGGAACTTGTTCCACACATGCATCGCAACCTCCTCCACAACCTGCTCCGGAACCTCCTCCGGAACTTGCTCTGACACCTGCTCCGGCACCTGCTCCGGAACTCCCGAACCTGCTGCGATCTGCAAGTTTTTACCATGGCTGAGGATCCCTATGCCTCGCAGTTCGGAAATAGTTACAACCTGTGTACATTTGTATATATGCAACTCTTTTGGACGTCCTGCAATCCTTGAACATTGTAGGATTTTTGATCTGCCTTACTGAGGAAGCTGGAGCCTCTGCAATGGCTGGCCCTGGTGCTTTTGACCGTAGGCGATTGCCTGATGCTGTTAGAAGTCCGTGAATGCTGGCCATAACTCCCATGAACAAATCTCCAGACATATTTGCAGCGGAAACCTTGGCAGCAAAAAAAGCAACAGTTTTCTTAGGGAAGTGACATTGGGGTTGACGGAGCCATAACAGCAGTTTGGGCTAACACGCAGGTTCTATCCGGCTTGCCTTGTGTTTAATCTTACGGCTTGCCCGGTGCCCCTTGTTGGCATTGACTTAGCTGGATGAAACCGTGTCATCCAATCTGCTTTGCAGAACACGGGAAAAAACCATCGGATGAACCGTGTCTTCCATTTTCCCTCCAGTCATCCCAGACATCCCTCTTCCAGTTTCACTTCACGGTTCTGACCTTGCAGACCTCAAACTCTCTCCCGTCTTCATCTCTCGCTCCGTCTGTTTCGCGATGCGTGAGGCGTGGCCGTGGGGGGCCGAGGAAAGAGCACCATGGAGAGCGGTGAAGTGTCAGAGGCGGGGCCTGACGTGAGTGGTCGAACCACCTGGTTTTCCGGTGGTTCGAAGCCGGGTTGGACGAATGTGAAGAAACGGATGTAAAGCAGATAGATGTTTGCTATGCAATGCTTGTAAAAATTAATCATACAGACATTTAAACATATTTAAACTGTACTACTCGAGAAAGGAAGAGAGATATAGATACAGAGAGAGAGAGAGAGAGACGCCACCGAAGCCAAAAGTTCAATTTCTCCACAGAAAGGCTTTGCCCTCTTTTCGCACACCCACGATTTCATGCGCTAACCTCTCGCAGACCACCACGGACCTGCACGTCATCACCGGGTTGGTATTGAAACCATCAAAGCTTGGTATCTGTTCGCAGTCCATTGTCAGCTATCGTGACGTGAAAGAGTTCGACGTATATAACCCAAGACCGTCACACCATCCCAGCCTCCCCAAACTCAGCAAAACTCGTGTGAAGAGCTTGACTGAGGTGCCTCTGCTCGGTGTTGCTTTGATGCTCTTCAACTGCACCCTTTCATCGTCAGAGCCTCAAGCCAAAAGGGGCTGTCAGTTTGTCGCATCAGTGGTTCGGGGGGTTCTGCTTCCTCAATGTTTCTTGAGTCCAAAAGTCCAGACATGGTCACCCTCCAAGGGTTCCGAAACTCAATTCGAGTGCTCCAAATCTTTCTTCCAAATTCCGGTGCGAACAATGGTGGGTCGCAAAAACGACTCCCCCAACCGACTCCCTCTCCAGTCTCTCCCCCACACTGGGCCACCCGATCCGTTCGCCGGTGACCACGTCCGAAGCGCTTTTCGAGGCTGGGCGGCGTGCTCACCGAGCGAGCGTTGAAGCAGCGCAGCAGTGGGGAGCTCACCATCTTTGCGACCAACCTGCCACTGGGATCTGGCACAGAAGGACGCTGGGGATCTGGCGGGGATGTGGAGACCCGAGAAAACTCCCTGTTTTGCGGGGCTTTCTGAGTGTTTTTGCTTGGTGTGAGGTGGAGAAAATGCTGAGACCTGCGGTGTGAGACCTCGGACCTGTGTAAAGTGTTTTTCTCTTTACTTCGCTTCCTGAAGGGACTTTGAGGTGTCATACGGTTCGGGTGTGTTGTTTCATAGACAGTGCCTTCGGTTTGGCTGTGTGAGGAAAAACCGTGCTGAGCATTTCGCCAGGTGGAAGCCCCAACTTGTGCTTCTTTTTGATCTCTTGGATGTAAACACCCTGTGAACTTGCCTCCAAACACCTGGACTGTTGATGACTGGGTTTGCCTACTTCCAAAACCTATATGACCAAAGGTATTGTTTGGATCTACTATGCAGTGGATGTATTTCTCTTCTTACATTTGTGGAACACCTGAAGTTCAAACCGACACCGAATGCCGAGGCACATGGCCCTTCATAGCCTTTCAATGAATGCCTCGGCGCTTTCTCTGGTGACCTCAGCAGAGTTGCCTCGCCTAGAGCTCCTGCAGATGCCACGTGGCGCAGCGCTGAACGCAGAAGATAGTGCGGCAGGTTCGGTTCAGGATGCTGGTAGAGTTTAGGAGATTCAGAAGATGAAGTGCAGGAAGAACTTGGAAACACCTACAACAAGTGATGGCGACTGACTACCGTGTCCTCCCAAAGTTGGCATTGGATGTTGATTCATCAAAGTGCAGTTGCTGCATGAGCTTCTGAAACTGATGGGAAGAACATTTTGAGGAATGTGCCAATACACAATTTTTCCAGCCAATCTTCAGGAGAGTGTGGTTTTGTTCTTGAAGGCTGAGGGCCTACAAGGGTCTCTGAAAGACCGTGGTCATTTGGAAGACTCTCTCATGAATCAAATGAATCGCATCCGCATCATCTTGATCTATGCAGCTTTCACAAAATGGCTCAAAAATGCACTGAGGCTGGACTGAGGCTCTTGGGATCCACCCAGCCAGCCACTTGTTTTCTCTTTCTCCTGGTGGATGCAGATCTCAGGTCTGACTTTGTGGCCCTCAGCAACGAGGCACTGAACGGCATTCTGATCTCGCTGTTGATGAAGCGCATCGATGCCATCGCGCCCTAGTTGAGCAGTTGGCGCAGCGAATGATGTCTAGGATGAAGAGCTTGGGTTTCCACAAGAAGGACTTTTGCAGTGTTCAGGGGGATTTTACCGGGATCCCAACATAGCTTGGCAATGTCGTGGAAAGATAGTGCTGACTTCGAGAAAGACAGATTAACAACTCGGCCTCCTATGTCAAACCATGCTTCAGAGCCACAAACCGCCTTGTATTGGAATCCCTTCAAGAAAACCAAGTAAGCAGCTTCTGTGGGACGAACTGCTAGACTACCAAACCTTCCCAACCTCCCCCCCAGGCAAAGAACTATGTCTTTAGTGTGTCCGTCTTCACCACTGCGGCGATGTCTGCTGTGGTGCTTCGACTGTGGCCTCCGTGGCAGTTCTACCTGGGTTCCAGCATTTGTGTCGCTGGGTGCATCACTTCGGAAGGTGTCTGCCGTATGTCGTGTTAGATGCCACGAGGTGGTATTCATGGCTGGCTTGAGAGAAACTTTAGACAAGCTGTGAGTCTGGCCTTTCATAGATCAGCCGTACAGGTTCATAAGAATTGCATTGGGCTAAGATTAGAAAGGATGTTCTCACAGATATAATGATGTTGTACCTGCCATGGCCAAACCACGTCATGGCCTCCCCGAATCTAAGGCCGCCTCCATGGCCTTGTATGCACAAGGCGGGCGGCCGAAGAAGATCCAGTGATCAAAGGGACTGCACATTGAAGTGAACAAAAGGTTTTTGGTGGCCTGGTCGACTTGGTGCAAATGATCCTCGCGCGCAACTCGTTGATGGAGATTCTCATGGCGCAGATGCTCCGGCACTCCGGAGTGCCTTTGCTACGACGGTCGAAGGTGCACAGGATCCTCACAGCATCAGGAGCAGGGCGTCGTTCCTGGCAACAGCTGGGTCGAGACTGGACCCTGCAAGGCTTCTGTGGAAGCTCTCACTTCATGGGCTGTTCTTTTTTCCAGAATGGCTCGAGTGGTCGTGCCAAGCACACCGGCAAGATGACGGTTTCATCGGCCAGTGTACAGTGCGGGGCATCGGTGGATCGGCTAGCAGCGGCTAGCAGGGTGAAGTATTTGAGGCTGTGCTACTCCAAATACGGCATGAATACGATCCATCAGCATGCAGCATAGTGCAGTCGCGCCTTGAGTCTCAGATGTTGGAGGATGTCGCAAAGAGCCACTAGAGAAAGACCATGGGGGTGATCCTGAGATGCTTGTTCCATTTTTTCCTTCCCCTTTGAGGTGCTCTCCACCCCATCCACTGATGGACCCCATCCACCCGGAGATCTTCAGGAGGGCGTGCAGTACTCCTGGCGAGTGGAGGCCAGCAAAGCTCGGAGTTGCCCGACATTGGTACACGTTGAAGAGAACCATTATACATATATAGTCTACTGTACCAGTTGAGATCATAGAGTCGACCAATTGAGATCATGGAGTCGATTAGTTGATGCGCCCTGTCGTCTCGGTTCTGAGTGTTGTCCTTGTGCTTGGACACCGCACCCATTTCGTTGTCAATCAACTTGCTTTGTTAGATATTGATGAGCTTCTAGGTTAGTTTGGAACGATGTACAAGTGGATACAGTGGGGTTTCCAAGTTTCACTTGTTGTATGATGGGGAGTCAGAAAAGGAATGATGCCTGACAACTTCTCAGAACGCGAGAAGAAGAGCTCCTTTCCCTTGAAAACGGTTTAGGTTCCTAAATCTCCTTGCGATCTGTCGAAATCCTTCACATCCCGCCCATTTGCTCGAAAACCTCAATTCTCTGGTCAAGCTGCAAACACAGACCTGGGACTAATGTGTTCAGCTGCACTTTTTCAGAAAGATCTTCAAAGTCACTCGCACCCTGGGCACGAGCGGGACTACAGAATGTCTCAACTCCAGCACTCCTGGATAAACCGAGGTGATTCTACTTTCCAATTCTTACAGCCCCCCAAACAGGGAGTCCAACCCAATGTTGGACACGGACATTTCCACGGTCCGTAGGAGAGGTCCCCGTGATACTGTGTCAACCCCTCAATTTGGATGGATTTGGTCTTGCCAGAAAAACAACTGGCGTTTCCTCATTGTTGTTGAACTTATTTGTTGTCAATAGTTGGCACTGACTGCGGCCGCATGGCCCACTGCCTACACGACCCCATGCGCCCCGCGCCCACCATGGGCTACCGGACCACAGCGCTGACACGGCTACGTGTGTGGCTGCGCGCGCGGAGCGCGCTGGCGTCGTGGCATGAAGACTGGAGGTAGTGGAGACTGACATGTAAATCCATTCTTGGTCGTCAAAGTCGGAACATCATCCAGTTTAGCCGAAGATCTGTCCAGAATGTCTGAATCCATGGATTAATTGAACCTTGACACTTGCATGTCAGGCGGAAAAGTTGCAGTTGGTGGTTTCAGGAACAGTGTGTAATAATTCTAGCAGGGAACAAGAGCAAGAGGTGTTCTGGCACAAGAGGTGTTCTGGCACAAGAGGTGTTCTGGCCCAGGTCTTCTTCTTCATTTGTCTTGCTGTTGTTGCTGCTGTGAGCAAGGAGAGGCTGTATACTCGTTCTTTGTTGTAGACCATTGTGGCCTCATACAAGATCCAAAAAAATGCATTCACGCAAGTCGATGACATTACATGCCGATGGTGCCGATGGGTGGGCGGGTCTCGTTTGATCTAGATGTTCTTTGATAATATGTACAATCGCACCATACTGATTCACCAGACTTTCTGTTCATGGTTCACTTACAGGTATGAGAGACGGACAACAAGGGATGGAGGTGGGGAATCTCACAAAACCTTGCTGATCCGGAGCACCAGAATCCAATGAAGCTCATCAAGTCTCACAATGCCTGAAGTTTGAAAGAATAATGCTGTTCCTGGCTTAGTGCCCCTGGTTTGAACAGGACATGTTCTTTTTCTTTTTACCGAGAAAAAGCTGTGTACCAATGTGTGAAATGCGTCCCTAGTCATTCCCTTATTCTTCTGACTGGTGCGTAGTAGAGAACAAGGGAGTCATTAAACTTCACACCGAAACAGGATCCAGCCCTGAACATTCCTTCACTCGGTTCCGTCTCCGTTCGTCGCACAGAAGATTCCGTCGCGGTTCGGGTCGCCTGGTTGCAACACCAGGAGCCCTGGCTGCCAACCTTCGCGCTGACCTGGGCGGCGTACCGACCACGGTCCGCGGGGTCGCGGCTGTTCAACTGCAAGAGGAGTGGGTGGAGCAGGGTGGACCGAGCATCTGGAGCATGTGTCCCTCAGACCGTGGGCGGTTTGACGATGACAACGTTCGGACCAAAGCCCTCCCCACAGACTCGACGTCCACAAAGACCTCCTATCTTTGGGATCGGTCTCACAAATCGCAAGCTCTTGGGGACCAGCAGCGAAGGATAGAAGGATAGCTTTTGAGTGCCCAACTATTTTTTGGAAGCTGACAGATGCAGCGACTCTGGAGAAGATGTCTTTTTTGGCGTCTCTTCATGGACCCGAAACAGTGAAGTTCCGGGTTGACCGTCTCGTCCACCCGTTTTCCATGCCATGCCGCCAGGGACGTCCGGGTGTCCACCCACTTCGGGGCCGAGGACATGTCGGACACGCAGGCAGAGGTCGGGAGAGCGGACATGTCCTGTCCAAGCAGGTTTTGAATCGATGAGACGTGTCAGGGATCTGTTTCTTCTTCATGAGTTTTTCTTTTTTTTCAGACATGTTGCCCACGTTTGGTGGATTCTGAAGTTGCCGTTGTTTGGATGCAGAGGCTTCTTCCAATCGTTGCAAGGCTGATGTTGATCGTGAAGACGGCCGGGAAGGATGGGAGGTCATCGTGCTGTTGTGTGCACTTGGCATTATGATCAGCTATGCAGATTCCTGGCTGCCTTGCGAAGGGATGTTGCATGGCTTTAGGTCTATCGCATCCACTCATGTGTGAACTTGAATTAGGCAAGGAATCGTTGACGGTTGATTTTCAGAGCTCACCAGCCCTAAACTGTGCCGTTTCCACCACTTTGTTGTTTTTCTTTCTTTAGCCAGAGGTGGGAATTCATCAACATATCGAAGAACTGGAAGACATGTTCTCATAAAAACCTTCTCAGAATCACCAGAGATGTCGGCCTGCCACCCAACTAGGACCCAAGTGACTTCATCCACTACTTACCGGTCGCCGCCGAAGCCCGTTACGCGCCCGTTCACGTGACGCGTTGAACACGTGTTGGGCGGTTGGGAGAGACTATCCTCCCTCAAGGATCGATCCAATATCTCCATTGCCATCATTGGTATGGCGGCAGACTTTCAGTGGGACAAGGCGTGGAACTGAAGACAGAAAACCGACCGGCCATGACCGACCGGCCAGACCGACTGCCAGATGCTGGCACAAGTCGGAGTTGTACATAATTGAATTTTTTTCAGAATCACAAGTCCTCAGGAGCAAGAAAGTCAGACTCTCCGCATTGGCAGGCGTTTGAAGGGACCGTGCTTTCTGCCTTCTTCGGAGGTGCGCGAGAAAACAGTGCAAAGAGCGCCCCTCAGGGCTTTTCTAGAAATTCCTTTGTTGCTTCAAACAAGTCAATCCATGAGAAGCTGGCGTGCGCTTTTTGACTGGTCTGAATCGGTTTGAATCACCAGTGGGACCCGCTGGTCAGGCTATGCTGGCACGCAGCTCCTGGGAGGCCAGTTAGCCGATGCTTTAGGTGCCAAATGGGTCTTGGCAGGAGGACAGGTGGTTCCATTTGCGAGAGGAGACTAACAATTGACATCCTGACAAACTTGGCAAGATGCTAGGCGAGCGATGTTCTACCTAGCCACACGGGAAGTAGGACGAAAGGAGCGGTGTTCACCTTTTTTCCGCAGCGCTGCACCATGCTGCACCTGCCTCGCTGCACCGTGTCCTCGCTGCTCCTTTGGCTTTTGTGACGTCCGTTCCTGGGGACCTCCCGAAAGACACAAACACACATCCACACGTACATTCACACACGTACACGCACACGCAAACCGCACACGCACACGCTGAAGACTAAACATCTACTAGAGTGCTGCAAGTAACTAGAGTACACATGCACACCAATTGTTTGGCAGTTCCCTGCTTCCAAGATAGAACACTTGCTTAAAAGTGTATACATTGCAGCTCCACTTTACGGGCGATGGAAGAAGTGCTCGGGCCTGACAACCCAACCTGCCCATGGTCGGCGTTATCTGGATACCCATGTGTCTATCCATCCATCCATCACATCACATCGCATCGCATCACATCACATCACATCACATAATATACATTGAAGTGAGGAGGTGAAACTTAGAAGGCGAAACTTAGAACCTTGTTTGGAAAGAAGTTCTGCAGCTCAGATGTTCTAAGTTTTTGAAGTTGGAATATCAAACCAACGTGTGCTTAGAACATTCACAACACACATGAATTTAGAATCTGTATGGGTGCAGAACACTTAGAACATCGTTTATTCTCCTGCAGAAAATGTCACATAGAACATGTACCATACCAACCTGAAGATGTATATACATATATATATTTAAGGGGTGTATAGTGCCGGGCATCCAGCTGAGGTTCTAAGCCATGTGCACTGCATGGAGTCTTTTTGATGAGGTGTTGTTCATGTTTGAGGGAGTTCTGGTACCATAGCTCGCAGTTTGGCGTTACTTGTACAGTGCGCTGATATAATATAGATCCGGCTTGGTATATGTTTTGGAGTCGACATATACATATGACCGGGTCACGGAGAAAAAGGCAAAGGAGCTTGGGCCTTGGGACAAACATGCATTTAGATCATAAGGGTGACATTCATAGCGGCGGTGATGTTCTGAGTGGATGTTCCGGATGTTATGTGATGCCTTGTTTCGGACATGTGCTTATGTGCTACTTGGATGTTCTCAAATAGTGTGGCTTTCTGAAGTAAGTTTTCTTCTTCTAAGTTTTGCCGTGTCACTATACATCATACATACATGCATTGCATTGCATTGCGTTGCATTGCGTTACATTACATTACATTACATCACATCACGTCACGTCACAGTACAGTACATTACAGCACATTACATACATTACTGCAAAACAAGAGCCAGGATGACACGCACAAACGAGAAGTGTACTTTCGAGGCCTTTTCATGCTTGAGAAAATGTCCGCATGGTAGCGGAGCCACAAGCGC